TGCCTACATTGAGAAATAGTGCAAAGAACACAAACTTTAAAGTCAAATAGACCAGGGTTCAGCTCTCACAACTGCCACTTGCTGGGTACGGATTTTGGTCAAGTTGCTTAATCTTGCTGAGTCAGGCTGATAATGCCTCCACAGATATGTCTGTATCCTAATCCCTGAAACCTGTGAATGTTACCATATAAGTTTTTGCAAGTGTGCTTAATTAAGGATCTCGAAATAAGTAGATTATCCTGATTACCTAGGCAGGTCCTTAATGCCATCACAAGTGTCCTTGTAAGGGAGAGTGGACACCACACACAGAGGAGAAGGGATATAAAGATGGAGGAATGATGTGGCCCCAAGCTAAAGAATGCATCAGCCAGGGCGGCACCTGTGGCTCAAAGGAGTAGGGCACCAGCCCCATATGCTGAAGGTGGCGGGTTCAAACCCAGCCCCAGTCAAAAACTACAAAAAAAAAAAAAAAGAATGGATCAGCCAACAAAAGCTAGCAGAAGCAAGGATTGGATACCCTCCCAGAGCTTCCAAAAGGAAGCAGCTCCACTGATACCTCAATGCTAGACTTCCAGTCTCCAAAACTGTAAGAGAATAAATCTCCATTGTTTTAAGCCACCAAGTCTGTGGTAATGATGGCAGCCCCAGGAAACAAATACACCTGCTAAGCCTCCATTTCCTCACCTGTTAAACAGAATATATGTTTCTTATGTTTGTTGTTGTTTATCACAACCAACAGCTCAATGTCTGGTACACAGCAGACATACAGTACATAGCAGCAGCTATTGTTTCTATTATAATTGTCTTCATTATGTTTGATTAGGAATTCTTAACTGAAAAATCGTGAGATCTGTACATTTGGAAAGGAGAGCTTTGTTTTTTATAAAGGGTTACAGCTGGGAAGACTGTGACTCTGACAGACCACGAAGCTTAGCCTCTGGCCAAAGCCAGGAGACAGACACTGAGAAGGAGGAGGAGTTGAGGCAGAGATTTAAGCTAAAAAGTTTGGCCAAGTGTACAAATTCAACAGGATACAGGGGAGCTATGAATATTCATGAAGATAGTCCTGATGCATTCCTATAGAACAATCATATTTATACCACATAACATACGTTCAATTGTTATAACCTACGTTCAATTTGGAGTGCAGACTTATCTAAATGTATTACAACTACCTTCTACTCATCAGAAGGTCTTTTTAGGACACAAAGGCACTCGAGCGTGCAGCCTCTATAAAACCAGTCAGAACCAGTCCATGGTCAGTGGTCTTCTTACCAAGAGAAAGTTACTGAAATCAGGCTCTTGTCCAATCAAAACTATAGTTATGGCTTGTGGAACGGAGGGTAAAAGTCAGTGTCCCATAAGCACTGTAAATTGCTTTAATATTGCTTACTTCCGGCTTGTTTATCTCCTAGAGAAAAAGAAAAACCTTGTGGCAGTTGAAACATAGTTTATTCTTTAAGTGTAGTGGTATGCAACGTAACTGTTGCTTGCCATGGCCTCAGATCCCATTCATAATTTGTGATCTTATTGCCACAAAGAGTCCATTCTGTCAGTTTTATTATCTCTATTTTAACATCAATGCTGGTCACTTGTTGTGTTAAACTGCAACAGAAGAGGGTACAAGGAGGCGTGTCTGACCTCTGGTCCCATCCTGGCCAGGAACTTGGTTTTTCAGGTTTCTTTGGGGTCCTATTGGCCAAAAGGGGTTCCATTCAGTGGTTGAAGGCTTAGAATTTTATTTTTACTTTACAGGATAAAAGAGTATGGATAGCTAATCCTAAATTCAGTACTACTCTGCTCTCAAAATCAGTCAAACCAAATATCCAGTGGTATAATCTTCATCTGGGGAGAACTGCATATTTATTTATAGTTTGTATCAAAATAGTGCCTTTCATCAAAAAGCTGTCTTCTATACTGTTGCTATATTATTATGAAATGTTGGATCTATTCAGGCCAATAATCAAATAAATCATGTTGCATTTTTCCAAGTATTTAATTGTGTGTTTTGCCATAAATTACATGTTTAAAATGGAAAATAAGCATTTCCAGCTGTTTTGAGGACAACAAATCTAAATTTGAACTGCTGAATTCTGGAAAAACTACAGATCTTCTAAGTAATCTGCAATTATTTTTTAAAGCCAATGTCAACTCTTGCTTATTCAGAATTTGAACATTCACTAAGGTGTAATCAGGGGAGAGTGGGAGTTTATGTGACGGAAGATTACTCCCCAAACACAGAAGTGTAGTATGCAGGGGTGTGATTATTTATTTGATGAATGATCATTAAGGGCCTGGGCTCAGCATTAGAGGATGTAAAAGTGATTAAGAAAGAGACTCTACCTTGAGGGAATAACTAGACAGTGAAGGGCATAGAAATATGTGATGTAAGAAGATAAATTAAAATTCAGAATGATAATAATGAAGCTAACATTTACCAGTGTCTATTATGTACTAGATACTGTATAATACTTCATGTGCATTATCTCAGTCTTCACAAACACTCTATGAAGTGGGGTTGTAACAAGGTTAAGTTGGCCAAGGTCATATATCCAATTTAAGAACAGTCTAATTCCCAAGTCCTCTCTCTTAACCATGACTGCAGAAATATAAACCATGTAATATGACAACACATAAAAGGAAAAAACTTACTGATCCTGAGGGGAATTAAGCAGGTTTCATCCAGAAATGTATTTTGTTTTCAAAGGTGACAAAATGACAAAAGGGCAGCATAAAAGGAAAGAAGTACCCATGCAAAGGGGATAGGGGGGCATCAGGAAAGGGCCGGGTATTCAAGGTGCCCATGCAGCTGGAGTGGTCAGGAATACTGTGCTGGACACAAAGAAGGACATCAAGTTATTAGTCTTTGGGAAGAGACAGGATCAGATCTGTATTTTATTTATTTTCTATTTTTTATTTTTTTTAGAGACAGAGGCTCACTTTGTCGCCCTCAGTAGAGTGCTGTGGAGTCACAGCTCACAGCAACCTCCAGCTCTTGGACTTAGGCGATTATCTTGCCTCAGCCTCCCAAGTAGCTGGGACTACAGGCACCCGCCACAACACCCGGCTATTTTTTGTTACAGTTTGGCTGGGACCACGTTGGAACCCACCACCCTAGGTATGTATGGCTGGTGCCCTACCCACTGAGCAACAGGCACCACCCCAGATCTGTATTTTAGAAAGCTGCCTGGGTATCCATGTGGAGGGTGGACTGCGTGCATGCATGCGCACACACACATACACACACACACACCCCCCAAGCCTGGAGGGAGGGATTTCTAGTCTAAGATGGAAATCAGATCACTACCACTTATCAATTCCCATTGGAATAGTAAATATGTATATGTAAATATATATATACATACCCGTGCACACACTATATACACAAACATATATACAAAAGAAAACTTTTTATGTTACTTTTAGAAACAAGAGAAGGATACTATGTACATGCTAGAAACCATTGTAGCAAAAAAGATGACTGACCTTACAGGTTGGCCAGACTCATCTAAAAATGTCTGAAGCAAATTTGAAGCTCATCCTGGACCCCCACATTATTACTAATAGACAAAACAGAATTTATGGCAAAAAGTTTATGAAACTAAAAGCAAGGAGGAGATTTCAGATGCATAAAAGGGAAAAATACCAAAAATACACTATGAATTTTCATGCGCCAAATAACATAGCATCAAAATAAAGCCAAAGCTGCTAGAAATACAGATAATACAGATGTCCAAAATTAGAACCAAGCTTGAACATATCCTCTTCACGATAGAGCTAATTAATTAAAGCAAACATGGTTAGTATATGAGTTGATACATATATACATATATCATCCTTAATATCTCATAAATGTTGAATTTTATCACATCTTAGTCAACAAGAAAAATCTCCACAAATTCCAAAACCTAAAAAATTATACAGGCTATATTTCTTCACCACAAAGCAATTACCAAAAAGAAAAATGAACAAAAGTGTAAACCACTTGGGATTATAAATACTATATTAAGTCTGCTGGGTGACAAAAAGAATATATAACTGCAGTTAAAGACTCTTTGGGAAATACACACAACACTAGTTGTTTAAGCCTGTAGAGAAAAGTACTCAAAGGAAAATTTGAAACATCAAATGCTTATAATCCAAAAAACAAAAAAAAACCCATAAGTTAAATACGCTTCTTTTCCAGGAGCCAAACAACCACAAAATAAATGTAAGGGAAATATGAGGAAAGACAAAACATAGTAGCTCACAGCAGAAATCAATTGATTCAAAGTGTTAATTATTTTAAGAGATAGTTAATTTTTTATTTTTATTTTTTTTAGAGACAGAGTCTCACTTTGTCACCCTCGGTAGAGTGCTATGGTGTCACAGCTCACAGCAACCTCCAGCTCTTGGGCTTACATGATTCTCTTGCCTCAGCCACCTGAGTAGCTGGGACACAGGCACCCACCACAATGCCTGGTTATATTTTTGTTGCAGTTTGGCCAGGGTCCAGTTTGAACTCACACCCTCGGTATATGGGGCCGGCGCCCTACTCACTGAGCCACAGGTGCTGCCCGAGATAGTTAAGTTTAAAAGACTAATAAGACTTGCCTTTAGTAAGTCTGATCAAGGTAAAAAGAAAGTATGTAAACATAGAACATAAGGAATGACAAAGAGGGCACAAACACTGATATATTTGTTACCTCTCAACTAAATTCTGGAAATATAGATACAAGTTACAAAATCTTCAATGAAAAAGTGGTAAACATCATAGAATAATAACTAAAGGGGAAATTTTTTTAATGTGTAAAAATATATTCCCCTAAAGACACCAGGCTAAAGGTTGCATAGACTATTTTTGCAAATCTTAAGGAGGAATACATAATTTATATGCTAAAGAGTGCAGAAAAAGAAGAAATGTTTCCCCATTCATTTTACTAGTTAGTATACCATTAAAACCTAAAAAAGTGAAAATATAGCTTACTTTCAGCTGGAGACGCCATCTTCCAGTATTCACCAAAATGACGAACACAAAGGGAAAGAGGAGAGGCACCTGATACATGTTCTCTAGGCCTTTTAGAAAACATGGAGTTGTTCCTTTGGCCACATATATGCGAATCTACAAGAAAGGTGATATTGTAGACATGGAGGGAATGGGTACTGTTCAAAAAGGCATGCCCCACAAATGTTACCATGGCAAAACTGAAAGAGTCTACAATGTTACCCAGCATGCTGTTGGCATTGTTGTAAACAAACAAGTCAAGAGCAAGATTCTTGCCAAGAGGATTAATGTTCGTATTGAGCATATTGAGCACTCTAAGAGCCGAGATAGCTTCCTGAAATGTGTGAAGGAAAATGATCAGAAAAAGAAGGAAGCCAAAGAGAAAGGTACCTGGGTTCAACTGAAGCGCCAGCCTGCTCCACCCAGAGAAGCCCACTTTGTGAGAACCAATGGAAAGGAGCCTGAGCTCCTGGAACCCATTCCCTATGAATTCATGGCATAAAGCATATAACATAGCACACAGGAGTACCAGTGGACCCATGCTTTTAGGTGCAAGAACCTATTTATTCCCCACGAGCTCATGGCATAATAGGTGTACAGCATAGCACACAGGATAACCAATAGATCCCGTGTAACAGTGATATAAGGTGTTAGAACTTATTTCCCGTGAATTCAAAAGTCAACGTTTTGTCACATTCAATGGCAAGGTACCTCCCTGAGCTACTGGAACCTCTTCCCTATGAATTCATGGGATGGTAGATAAGAACAATAGCCCACTGCTACTGTAAAAAAGTTTTTTGTTCATTCACTAAAAGTGTGATTTTTTCCCCCAAAGAAATATTAAAGCAAATTTTAACTTGTCCTAAAAAAAGTGAAAATATATAGTTATCTAACATATAAATAAGGTTTTTAAATCTTAAATAAAATACTGAACATTGTAATCTAGCAGTATATTTTAGTATACCTTAATTTATAATTCAATTAATGTGATTCACCCCATTAACAGACTAAAAGCATAAAAGTCAAGTGATCATCTCAGTAGACACATTAAAAACATTTAATACAAAAAAACCATTTAATATAACCAAAAAATTCTCACCAAACTAGGAACAGAAGGGAACTCCCTCAACACAATAAAATACATCTATGAAAGCTACTACTACTGCCATATTTCATAGTAAAAGCCATCTAAGATCAGAAACAAGATAAGAATTTCCACTCTTATCCCATTTAAAAAACTAGATTTCTATTGGCCTCAAAGAAGACTGAATAAATATGTATGCCCCCCCACAAATGGACATAATTATAATGAGCCCAACGACAAGTTCACATTATTACTATATGAAGAACGATAGCCAATAAGAAAAAGACATGAATGGAAAGTTCACAAAAGAGAAGTAACGATTTTTATTCCTCTTTTCAAAACTTTCAAACTTCATCTCTCCCAACTGTTTCTCAACCGTATTCCTGTTTCTTTGGCTTAGAATGCTTATCCTTCCTGCTCTAACTTTCTCCCAAACCCCACATGCTCATCAACTCCCACTTTCTCTGTTCATCTTTATAGGCAAATGTCTCACGCGGCCAAACCCCAGTCTGAACCCCACCATCGACGTGCCTGCTCCCAAGCAACTGGTGCTGCTGGGGGAAATCACGCGGCTGGGCAGACTACTGTCCCTATACGTTATTGACCAGATATCTCCGCTGGGTACTCCACACTGCCCAGCCACCCCAAAGCATTCCCCTACTAAACTTGCTTTTTACTCTTACAGAGACAGGAATTGCATCTGAAAGCATTCTCTACAAGCTTGATCCACCTCATCTTTCATTCACTTCCCAGCCTGTATCCGTGCCCCATCTGTTCCCTTCACTGACCCAAAAGAATAAATTTTTTTAAGTTTTTCTTAGTAAGGTTGCCAAATCCCATAGACACTTTCAATCCTTGTCTTTCTTAACCTTTCAATCGTTGTGCCCTCCACAGAGAAAGTCTTTCAATTTCTGTGAAACTTCAATTTCCTTAGTTTCTTCCTGGCCTTCCTACTTGATTGCCTTCACTCCTTTTCCAGCCCTCCTGTCTCTCCCCAGTCTCTGAAGAATGGAGATACTGTAGGTCCCCAGGTCCTCACTGTGGTATTATTAATAGATGATCTCATTCATTTTCATCAATTCTGACATCAGTCATATGCCACCACTCCCAGATTTTTATCTCCAAACCAGGTTACTTTCCTGGCCTCAAGACTCATTACCCACTGCCTTTTTGACACCTCCATGAGCTTAGATGTCTCATAAGCTTCTCCTATCTCATATGTCCAAAACAGAACTCTTGTTCTTTGTACACGTCCTCCATCCAAACCTGTTGTTGGCAATTTTCCGTATCTCAGTAAATAACACCCCGATAAAATCAATTGCCAAACCAGAATCCATCATTAATATTTCCTTGTTCCTTATTCTCCACATCTAATCCATCACAATTCTTTTTTTTTTTTTTTTTTTTTGCAGTTTTTGGCCACCACCTCTGGCATATGGGGCCCGTGCCCTACTCCTTTGAGCCACAGGCGCTGCCCCCATCACAATTCTTGCTGATTCTACCTCCAAGTACATCTCAAACTTATACTCTATCCAAACCACCTTCCTTTCCATTCTCAACTACTATCATATGCTTTTGACCAATCTCACGTCCACTCTTGTCCCTTCCCAGCCCATTCATCACACAGTCACCAGGAAGAACAATTTTTTTTTTTTTTTGACAGAGTCTCATTCTGTTGCCCAGGCTAGAGTGCTGTGGCACCAGCTTGGCTCACAGCAACTTTAGCTCATAGATCCTCGATTCAAAGGATTCTTCTGCCTCAGCCTCTCAAGTACTTGGGACTACAGGTTCCCGCCACAATGCCTGGCTAGTTTTTCTACTTTTAGTAGATGGGGACTCACTCTTGTACAGGCTGGTCTTGAACTTTTGAGCTTAAGGGATCCTCCCACCCTGGCCTCCGACAATGCTAGGATTATAGGTGTGACCAACCCTACCTGCACCCCAGAAAAAATATTTTTTGAAATGTAAATCTAATCAACAGTCTTCAGTGGCTTCCTATTAAAATTAGGATAAAAATCCAGAATCCTCCCCAATGTGCTGCATGATCTGGCTCCTTGTACCTTCCTGACCTCAGCTCATACCACTCTCTGACTTCCCATTTTCCTTCAGCCACACTGCTATTCTTTCAAGTTTTCAGACATGTCAAATTCTTTCACTTTGAGGAGTTCAAAGGTGTTTTTCTCTTTACCAACCTACTTTCCATGAGTTTTTCCCTGTCTAACTCTTATTTATTCTCTGTTTTCCATTTAAATGTTCCTCTCTCAAAGAGGCTTTCCATCACCACAACCATCCCCAGTCTAAATTTGAGCTATTCCATTTCTCACACTCTGCATTCATTCCCCCTAGGGCTAGATTACACAGTGCATAAGGACAGATGCCAGGGAATCACTTTTATACCAAGCACTCTGCCAGGACCTGGCACATGGTCGTGGGGGCGGGGGGTGGTGGTGGTGTTTATTTGGTTTTTTTCCTTTTTCAACTATTGAACTAATGAATTTTTCTTTAAGAGACAGGGTCTCACTGGGTGGTGGCTCATGCCTGTAATCCCAACACTGTGGGAGGCTGAAGAGGGAGAATTGCTTGAGCTCAGGAGTTTGAGACTTGCCTGAGCAAAAGTGAGACCCCGACTCATGGAAAGAAATGGAAAAACCCAGGCGGGTGCCACAGAGAGTACCTGTAATCCCAGCAGCTTCCAGAGGCTGAGGCAGCGGGATGCCCACAGCCCAAGTCTGAGGTTGCAGTGAGCTACCACGCCACTGCACTCTGCTCAGGGCATAGGGTGGGACTCTGTCTCAACCAAAAAAAAAAGAGAGAGAGAGAGAGACAGGGTGTCACTCTGTCACCCTGGGTAGAATGTAGTGGTGCAATCACAGCTCACTGCAACCTCCAATTCCCAGGCTCAAGAAATCTTTCTGGGTACCACCACACTCAGCTGATTTTTTTTATTTTTTGTAGAGATGGGAGTCTCACTATGTTGTCCAGGCTGGTCCTGAACTCCTGGCCTCAAGTGATCCTCCCATCTCAGGCTACTACTGTGCTGAAATTACAGGGGTGAGCCACCAGGCCTGGCCAGGCTTCATTGCTTCCATAACACCTTTCTCAATCACCCTGGGTGCTCCCCGCACTAGTAGGTCTCAGCACTTGCGTCTTTGTTCCCCACTGGGTACTGTACCTATAGGTCATCCTTGACAAGCAGTCCCCTGGAACTTCTGGGTTCTTAGACAAGCCAATACTGTGTCACTTCTGGGCCTTCACACATACTGTTCCTTCTAGCTGACACTCTTCCTTCCTCTTATTCCCCCTCCCTCCATTGTCTCACTGCTCTCTACCCATCTTTCATGTCTCAATTTAGACATCACTTCCTCTAGGAAATCTCCTCTATACCTCCCCCCACACTGGGTTAGCTTCTGCATCTGGTCCATTTGGCTAACTACATCTCCCTCGAGACTGTAACCTCAGGTCCTGTGTCTGTCTTGTCCACCGCTCTATCTCTAGAATCTGGCACAGAATCTGTCACATAGTAGGAAGTCAATAAATAGTTATTAAATCAATGAATTGATAGATGGTTCACAGTTGTTTATTACTGAAAGAAGACGCTAACTGGGCAGAGGTATGTAGTATTTCAGTCTGAAATGTTTTCCTCATTTAAGCAAATCTTCCAACTCACATGGTTAGGGTCAATTAGTCTGAGAGAATGAATTAAAAACCTGCTTAAGCAGTTCTCTCCATAGGAAGACGAGAGAAAATCTGCTTCTACCATCTCAAACATTTTCCATGTGGAAAAAACATTAGAAATAGGAAGTTCTAAAGTGACCTTCTGCTGGCCCCAGAATCACTCTTTGCTGCTGAAAATATCACCAGCTTAACTCCATCTCTCCATAGTAGGATGGAAATAAATAAACCAGATTCTCTAAATTGGCTTCAAAGACAGTTGCCAGTGCTATCTGTGTTAACAAAACTTCAGGGAAAAAAGCAATGGTTACATAAGACAGAAAAGTGCCCAGCAATGGTTACATAAAAGGGCCCAGTATTCCACAGAGTCAATTAGCTTCTCCAGAAGAGCAGCCTTGACAGTGTCCAGAAATCAATTGATTAGGTAATGCACACTCAGCAACTGCAAAGTTGATATACTGCTTAAATCACCAAATGAAAACCAGGGGGCCCTTAAAGGCATTACTGAAATAAAGACATGTGCTGGGAATGACTGGTGGACTCTGGGCTGACACAAACTCAGTCTTCAGTGGTGTTGCATATGCTATCTGTTACAACTACATTGCAGGCACTGTAGGTTGTCTTACTTGGCATTCATCTCTACCTTTTCTTCCTTGGCTTCCTCTACTATAGAAGCTAGAAATGCTAAATAATCACTTTGCTCTTGCAACAAGGGATAGCTAAATGAATAGTTCTGACTGAATAAG